GAGAAATCTATGATGCAAATCGGCCGATCGTAAAACCTGGCTGGTGTATGCGAGAGCAAACGAGGTCTTCCGTAATTTTTTTTGAATGAACGCCAAGGCGCGGCACAATGGCTCGTCCTTAATAACGCAAAACCATGCTACCATAAATCGTTTAAAAAAAATTTCGCGACGCCTTACAAAAACCTGCAGAATTTAGAACGAGGTTGCGGATAAAGTCGCGGTAAATCGAAGGACGTTGACATACAAACCCGAAATTATTTTCCGAGAAACGTGTAACGAAATTGTATATTATTGCCAAGTAATAAGTTCTCGTCTCGTGGAATATTTGTTGAAAAATTGGTCGAGAGAGAAAGAATATTTTCTGACGTTACTCCGTTACATAATTCTCTCTATTCTTTGAAATTGAAAAGATCAGCATTTTTTTAAATATATCTATACGAGTTATAAATAAGTTTGCTCTATCATGTGAAATCGATCTCCGTTATTATTGTTAATTAGCCGTTTAAAGGCCGTTTAAGCAAATCCGTTGCGAAGGCTGGGATGTGATCGCGCAATCAGCGAGAGAGCGATTATTTACGCGAGCGAGCGAAAAACGACGGCCCTATACGATGATGATATGTCGATCGTGCAAAGAAACATGTATAAAAGTCGGCACTGAGGATCGTCTGACGAGAGAGGATTTCCTCGACTGTTTTTCGCGTGCCTACGCGGTTGGGGTTGCACAATCCAGACACAATCGGCTGGTAGAGAAAACCAGTTCGTTGTGCCACGGAGAGCTCTCGAGTCTTGAGAGCTCCCTCAAGGTGGTCTCGTCTAAATATAGCCGAGTGGAGCCCAGAATAACACCGCATCGAGCCGGCAATGACCAAAGCCCACCTCGCCTCGTCCACGAACTAGGATAACCGCTTCGAGTGGCGGGTCAGTTTTGTTCACCGGTTCCCACCGATCGTCCTTTCACCCAAGCGAGAAGATAAACAAGGAAATAAACAAACTTAACGGGAAAGCATTTGGTTGGAGGCCCGTATAATGAGAGAAGATGTGAGATAATGTACTCAAAATACTCTTATGACCGCGTTGATTCGAGGAAATCTCGGAATCAAAACATGCTGCTCTGCAACCAAAGAAAAGCATATATAAATAATATATAAATAATCCTATCAAAGTTATAGAATATAATTTCAAGAATATGTGCATCGGGCATTTGGTGGTGACAATAGTGAATTTTAGATCCAGACAATTAATGAAAAGATTTGATAGAATAATTGGAAAATTCAGATTTATTCAATAAGCTCATTTCATGTTTAATCAATGAAATATAATCTAAAAATAAACCTTTGATATTTATGTTTACGAGAGACGAGCAGGTTGATATTTAATGTTTCGAATGTATGCTGAAGATATTGGTCCATTGCCCCGACATTTCAGAGCGTGAAAAGTCTCGTGAAATCATTACTTCTAATATTATTTTGTCCACGAACTAGGCTAACCGACCTGAGCATTGGGTCAATTTCGTGTCTGTCAGAAATACCGATCCTATCTAGAAAGAGAGAAAAAGCAGGAAGTTCAGGTTCTAATAAACAAACCTGACCCGCTTCAACTCCCTTCTCTATTCTTAGTTCAAGAAGACAAATATGTACGGTTTCTCCTCTACTAATGGATGGCGAAGCTATTACTAGAAAACTAACGACTAATAATAATTTCTCAGACAGGCTAATAATAATAATTTATGATCGTGGCATGTGAATTTGTGTAAGTTAACTTTTTTCTTTTTTTACAATATTACATTCCTGAGAATTAATTAAAAATTTCAAGTGTTTTTTTTTAAATTGTCGAAAAATAAATATCAGAAAGAACAAGGGAAGAAACGATTGAAAATGTTTACTGTAGAAAATCAAGATGCTATAATAAGATAGAGGATATTAATATTTACTTAATACTCTTGTTAATATTAGGTTTAATTTTTTATTATATTCTTCAAAACTCGATTTTACCAGAAAATTACAAAATGATTTAATGACTATTTTTAAATTTATTAATGATTTATTAATGAACTACTTTGTATAGTGTAATATAATAATTAAGAACTCCAAATATTATGCAACTTATAATAGAGTATCGTATACAAAAACTTTAGTCATAGTTGAGTTATATCTGTTTGTTTATATTACGAAATAAAGAAAATAAGATAATAAGAAAAAAAATATAAATATCAGATAATACTGATCGATATAAGAATATACTGATAATACCGACCATAATGGCATGAAATATTTATAATAAAGCTTCTCTCGTAAAGCCTCGCTCAAAACACTTGAGGATTTCTAAAATCGGCCAAGAGCTATCAGAAATTGTTATTAACTAAAAATCGACGGAGATCGAATGTACAATATTATACACTTCTCAAAATAATTAAGGGATTAAAAAAATAGGCAAATTTTAAATAATTGTAACTTTGTTTCGAAAATGGAAAATTAAAATTTTAAAATAGTATATTAGAGCTAACAAGTGCGGAGGATCGTAAATCGGCCAAGAGTGCGGAAGTTTGGCGCACGAGGCGAAGCTCCGAGTGTGACAATCCGCACGATCGGCCGATTTATGACCCGCACATGTTGGCTACGATATTTTGTGTGACCGGTGCGTGGAAAGGGAGCCCTTACTAAAATCCCATCATGTGCGTAAAGGGCGACTTTTCGCGCGCCGGTTGCACAAAAGTGTTTTAAAGCTTGAAATCTCTACTTTATAGTACGAACTTTATAGTATCTCTACTTTATAGAACGAAATTTTTAACGAGTTTCACGAGTTAAAAAATATTGAGTCACTATATAATACTATAGAGCAAACATTCAATTTTAAGAATCTATTCTTAAAGTTGCTGTACGATGATTTTTAACGGAGTTATAAACGATCAAAGTGAAAATGACCATTTCAATTTGCGATAGCTTGATAAGGAAAGATTAAAATTTAAATTTTAAAAAACAATTTTGTAGGGAAAACTTCAGACTTTAATGTGAAAATGTCAAAAAATTTTTTCAAATCTTGTGCATGCGGCATGTCTACAAAGTGAGAAAAAAATTTTCCATTTTGTTATGTTCGTTGTTTTCTGTATGTAAACGATATCAGAATTGGAGAAAATGAGAAAGTTATGACCTTTTGAAAGTAAAGATTTCAAGCTTAAAATTCTTTTTTAAATTCTCATTTTTCAACAAAGTTACAACTATTTAAAATTTGTCTGCTCTTTTTGGACAATTTTTTATCCCTTAATTATTTTGAGAAGTGTATTATACTTCGCTACAGTCAAACTGTTGAAAGCATTATAACTTTCTGGACCCTCGGATAAAGACGGCAGGCAATCTGTATAATGAGGAAGAAATGAAAGAGACTCTAAGCGACATGGCGGTAGTTGCTACGATTAAAGAAGAACTGACCCCCGTCACGTTTAATTTATATGTTAATGAGGAGCGCATGTCACATTTCAGCCGCACCGTGCACCATCTCTTAGAGTATGTAAACGCGCAAGAGGAAATTCCGTTCTCTGCTCCCTTCATGAAGGGAGACTGCAGTCTCTCTTCCGTTCATTCCACCTTCTTTCCCTGTCCCCTTTTTTGGGTTTATATTTAACCGCGCCACACACCATGCCACCCAACGCAGCCAACTCTGCTGCATTATTCTCCTGGTGCATCTTAGGTGATCTCTCTCTCTCTCTCTCTCTCTCTCTCTCTCTCTCTCTCTCTCTCTCTCTCTCTCTCTCTCTCTCTCTCTCTCTCTCTCTATTCTTTTTTTTTTTGCGGCGGTCTTTTCTTTTTCCTTCTTCCTTCTCGACTACACTCGTTTTCATTGCGCCGATGGCTAGTCCTGCACCATGCACACAATTCACGCATACACTCGTTCACTTGCAAGGAAAGGTGTGGTCTCGCACATCCTCCTCCTACGTTAATTATTCCGAAAGAAGAGATCTCATAGAGATTGATAAGCGATGGAGTGATAACATATGCTGTACTCGATCATTATGCATAATAAAATAGTAATTTCAATTTTGTTATAATTATATTTTTTTTCATTCGAAAATATGTAAAACTTTAAAAAATTGTACCTATATATATAAGAAAATATATATAAAATAGATCTGTAAAGAGCAAAATCTTAAAATATGTTTTAAATAATATAATACTTTAAACATTCAATTAATATTTTTGACAGTGATCAGCTGATTTCTGTCAAAAAATATTCGAATTTAAAGTATTATAACATATTTAAAATTTTATTTTAATTCTTATATCATATATACGTTATAAAAATTAAAATAATATATTTTAAATATTATACTATAATACTTCAAGCTCGATTATTATTTTTGACAGCTATCAGCTGATTTCTGTCAAAAAATATTATTCGAATAAAAAGTCGAATTATATTCAAATTTAAAGTATTATAACATATTATTTACAACATTATTATTTTAATTCTTATAACATACTATTATTTTAAAATTTAATTAACAAATTAACACTTTAATCAACTAGTTTCTATCAAAAAATATTAATCGAAAATTAAACAAACTTTATATTATTTTAAAAAAAATATTCTTTTTAATATAAAATCGAAGAATGATGCATGCTTATATGTGTTCTAGTATTAGGTATACATGTATATGTTTTGTCAAATGAACGAAATTTTCAATGTATCTTATATGTAATACGGTTCTCATATATCATATAGAGATTTCCAGCTATTTGCTGAATTGGTAACCGGACGTGATCGCAAACGTAGCAAATTCGACTATATACGCGTCGCGTGGATAAACTCTTGAGTCCTAAATAAAGGCACTAAATAAATTCTGTTTCATGATTCAAATGAATTATACGGTTATTTAATCGTTAAAAATTGCGGCCAAAAATAAAATTTATGGAAATTCCAGTCTCTCTAGAAGAAGAGAATGGAAAAGAATCACAACGACACCCCGTAAAATCCCTGATGAGTAATGTTGTACATGATCGTTGCAGAAATGCTCGGACTACAAGGCCTCAAAAGTGAAGACCTTCGTGAGGACCGAACCACCAGATACGCAGGTGACCAAGTCGGTGATCACCCTGCTACAGCACTATGGATGGAACAAATTCACGATCGTGAGCGAACGCGCCTGGTCGACGGTCGCTCGTTCGCTGCAAGAAGATGCAACCAGGAAGAATCTCACTGTGAATCATTACAAGATCGTCGAGGATCGGCACACGTGCTGCGAGGAGAGGCTGCCTTGCTGTCAAGTCAGCGTATGGTTCCAACTCATACAGGAGACCAAAAATATGACCCGTAGTAAGTTTATATTTCTTTACATTTTTCCTAGTTAACTAGCTAAGATTCGATCTCTGAACATTGATCTAATAATAATATAATTAATAGATTTTTTTCATGATTTTCGGCAATTGTGTCTCTTGAGAGCCAGCATTAACTTCAGCATCGATATGAAGACAACTCGTTTACCTCCACTTTCTTTATTTGACATTTTAATTAATTAATTAATAATGCAGAAGTTTTCTATTGTTTATGTACAATAGACAATTTATGAATAATGATTAAACTTTTTTCGTTTTTATTTAATCTAAAATATTGTTATATTTTTTATTTCAGTTTACATCTTCCTCGGCACACCAATGTCACTGATAGATATGATGAATTCGATGCAAAGCCAAAGGCTGCTGGACGACGGACAATACATGGTAATACACGTGGACATGATGATGTATTCGCAACGTGAAGCACAAAAATATTTATGGAGTAAGTACATCTGAACTTTATCGCATGTTGAGTCAATCTTAAGTTAATCACATGTTACGTTAATATTGCAAATAGTAACATTGATAAGCCGATATTGTATAATAATTTGGATCCCATGTTATTTATAATATAATTATGTAAAATTAACTTTAATGAATTCAAGACTAAATTATTTTGCCTGCTTATTTCTTTTAACAATCAATATATATATATATAACAAGTCAGACTAATTATTTTTAAATCTTACATTACATCTTACATTTTAAATCTTACAACGTATACAAGTACACATATATACAACTGTATAATTTTACAATAATCCGCAGAACCAGAGCACTTCGACACTCTAAAAAACTGCCTCGAGCCTAAGGACTTTTTGAAGAGGGCACGTTCTCTGATGGTCGTCGTATCGACCCCACCGACGAAGAATTACGAAGAATTCACTAAGAAGGTCGGGCAGTACAATAGCAAAGCGCCTTTCAATTTCATAGTTCCCCATCTTCTGCGAAAGTATGAAAAGGTATTTTTAGATGCTAGCTCAACCGTAAACGCTGGCTGGTACCGCATAATCTTTGTTACACGCTTAATCTCTTGGTTTCAGTACGTCTCCATTCACGCGGCCTATCTGTATGACTCTCTCAAGCTTTACGCGAGAGCCTTAGATCAGCTGATACGAGATCATCCGAATCAATCTGTCGAGGAGCTTGCTAAAAATGGCACTCTTATAGTCGAGACGATTATTAAAAATCGTACATATCAAAGTAAGTACGTATAGCATTAACGTCTAATAAATGTAATCTGTATATCGATAGGATATAATCTGGAGTGGGTCTTACAAACACTCGAGATCATCTAATGCTAGACATACCGATGTGATAATATAAATGGCAATAAAAATCTCGGAAGTGGATCGATATAATTGAATCTCTTTGATGCTTTTTTAAATAGACGAAAATTAATTATGTGTAAACATTGTCTTACGAAAGTCTTTCTTTTTTGCAAGGCGTGAGTGGGGCGACCATCAAGCTGGATAAATATGGAGATTCGGAGGGGAATTTTTCTGTTCTTGCTCTGAAAAAAAATCCATTCGATCGTCACAATTTCTCCTGCGACTATCAAATGTTGCCTGTGGGCCAGTTCCTGCAGCAGGGTGAAAATCTAGTGAGTGAGTTGTTTGTAGTATTTCGAGAAATATTTTTCACGGCAAATCAAGGGAGGGGTAGGGATAAAAACAGTAGTGTTGCGCATTTAAATCGTTGGATTATGAAAGTTGAACGCGCAACAAGATGAATATATATCGAATGTATATGATATTATTACATGATACAGGTGTATAAACCTTGGGGCGCTATGGAATGGCCTAGTAAAACTAAACCGGAAGCAGAACCTGGTTGCGGTTTTCTCAATGAACATTGTCCGCAAGACGACACACATCTCCGCAGTATTATCGCCGCTGCGGGGCTAGCCATCTTGCTATTCTGCGCTGCAGTAATCACTATGAGTATATACCGGAGATGGAAAATAGAACAGGAAATAGAGGGATTGCTTTGGAAAATTGATCCGAGTGAGATACACGGTTATCCTCATCTCGATAACATGGTGTCCTCCCCTAGTAAGGTGAGCAGATTATGATAAAATTATTTTGAAATAGACTTAACGAAGTGCTTCGTACGTGGATGCACTCTCGATGCACGAATATTAACAGTAAATTGACTTTTCGATTACAGTTAAGTTTAGTTAGTGCAATGTCCTATGAGTCGAGATGTGGCGGCCAAGTATTTGCGCAAACCGGGCATTACCACGGTGTAGTGGTGCGAATAAAGGAGTTGAAATTCTCGAAGAAAAAAGACATTTCACGGGACGTTATGAAGGAGATGCGCGTTCTCCGTGAAATTAGACATGGTAATCTCAACTCTTTCATCGGAGCGTGCGTGGAGCCGATGAGGATATTGTTAATTACTGACTATTGTGCCAAAGGAAGTCTTTATGTACGTTATAGCGTAATCACGGTGCCATTATACTTTTATTTATAGTACAGTGTATTATATGAAAGAACAATATTTAAGTTACATTCGCTTACATAGGTGTTTGCAGGGAGGGACAATAGGGACCATTTACCTTTCCTTGGGATCAATAAAAAAATTAAGCATTTGCTTTTCTTGTGAATAAACACTGGAATTTGTTTGCATATTTAATATAAAAATAAAATAATAAAATAAAATTTTTTAAATTAAAAAAGAACAGTAATAAAAAACAAAAAAATTTTATTATTCCTATTCCTAGAAAAAATCCTGCGGACGCCCATGTTCAACTTCTAATAAATTTAAACAATAAGATGATAAAAGATATTTTAATATACTTATATTAAATATGTATATTATACGCTTTTTCAGGATATCATTGAAAACGAAGATATAAAATTAGATGATATGTTTATTGCATCGTTAGTTCACGATCTCATTAAGGTAAGTCCCCTTAAAGCATAGGAAAAACCAAATTATAATAATGTAAGGTGATTTTACATGTGTCTTCTATTACTCTGTTAAATAGGGTATGCTGTATATTCACGAGTCATCTGTGCTAGTCTGTCATGGTAATCTAAAGTCTTCCAATTGTGTCGTGACTTCACGTTGGGTGCTCCAAGTCTGCGATTTTGGTCTTCATGATATGCGTCATTGCGCCGAATCTGACAGCATCGGTGAACATCAGTATTATCGAAGTATGCGAATATTTTTTATCTCACACGACACAAAGTAATCATGCATTTCTCGTTATTTAATCGAGTGGTTTCATCTCAATTCAGGCTTGTTTTGGAAAGCGCCCGAACTGCTAAGAAACCCGCATGCTTCGATTAGAGGCACTCAAGAAGGAGATATTTATTCTTTTGCCATTATTTTATACGAAATTCTCGGACGAAAGGGACCGTATGGAAATATAAATCTGGAACCGAAAGGTAATTATAATATAAAAAAATATTGCAAATGTGTCTATAACTAAAAAAATATTGTAAATGTGTCTATAACGAGTAAGATTATTTCAATAATTTTGGCAGAAATCATAGATCGAGTGAAAAAGTTCCCGGAAGATGGTGAACCACCATTTAGGCCTAACTTAAACATACTCTCCGAAACGAAAGCAAATTGCGCCGATTACGTCGTCGGTACTATTATGGATTGTTGGTCGGAAAGTCCGGAGCTTCGACCAGATTTCAAAATTATAAGAACAAGATTGAAGAAGATGAAAGCTGGATGGCATCGAAATATAATGGATCAAATGATGAATATGATGGAGAAATATGCAAGCAACCTCGAAGATCTAGTCACCGAGCGTACGGGACTTCTTTTGGACGAGAAAAAGAAAACTGAGGATCTACTTCATAGAATGTTACCTAAGTTAGTGAACTGATATATACTTCACCGAAATCTATATATGACTCAGGGTGTATACTTTCGGGAAAAATCCTTGAAAATCTGGTAATCTCAGGAAATTTCATTCAACCTTAAAAAATCAGAGAATTCTTATGAAATAGGAGCTTTTAGGATTCAAGAAATTTTTTTAAAAATTGTCCTTTTGTTAATTTTATTTTTATTTAGCACTTAAAAAACGTATGTTTAACATATCTTGACAATACCTAAGTTTTTATTAAAATTTTGTGATTTTTTTAAATTGACAATCTATTTTTAGTATTTTATGTAAATTATAAATTTCATAGAAAATTGTTCAATTTTTTAATAGATTATATATTTAAATAAATTTATATTCCTTATTTTATTTAATAAATAAATAAATAATACTTTAATCAATAATTAATAATTAATTTTAATACATTAGTATTCCTTGAGACGTTTATAATAAATTATTTTTTGTTTTATATATTTATTTTTATCAGGGAATTTTTTTACAAAATTAGAGTAGACATCCTGATGACTATAAAATTTCCACGGAGAGAAAATTTGCGCAATATGTAAATTTACAAAAAAAAATATTGTTTATTTTAGGCCCGTTGCGAATTGTTTAACAAACGGTATTGGAGTAGAACCGGAAGCTTTTGATTTGGTTACAATATACTTCAGCGATATCGTCGGTTTCACGGCGATGTCGGCAGAAAGTACACCATTTCAGGTAATTTATTTTATCGTTTTTTAATTAATAAACTAAATATGATTGTTACTTATGTAATTAATAATTAATTATATATCAACAGGTTGTAAATTTTTTGAATGATCTGTATACATTGTTTGACCGTATAATCAGAGGATATGAAGTTTACAAGGTAGAAACGATCGGGGATGCTTACATGGTCGTAAGTAGCGTTCTTAAAATTAATAAATTAATTACAAGAAACAAAATCATTTCTGATCTTTATGATCGATCTTTTAAATCATTAAGGTTTCCGGTCTTCCAATCAGAAATGGAGATCAGCACGCTGGACAGATAGCATCGATGTCATTGGAATTACTTAACGCTGTCAAACATCACACAATACCTCACCGACCTCAAGAAACTCTCAAGCTACGTATTGGTATCCATACTGGTAAGAGATATTAAAGATAAATGTATACATGCATATATACGATATATATATATATATATATAATCGATACATTAATTGATGAAAACACAAACATAAAATTATAGGTCCTGTAGTAGCGGGTGTTGTCGGTTTGACGATGCCTAGATATTGTTTATTCGGAGACACTGTTAATACAGCATCTCGCATGGAATCTACTGGAGAACCATTACGAATACATATCAGTAAGCAGTGTAAAGAAGCTCTAGATAAAATCGGAGGTTATCAAGTCGAGGAACGAGGCTTTGTTGAAATGAAAGGAAAAGGAACGGTGAAGACGTATTGGCTTACTGGAGCTACTGTGACGCACAGAAAAAATATAGAGGTTTGTAAATATTTGCAAAGTATATATAGAAGATAATATTTTACAAAAGTATAAAACTGTATAATAAAGATGTGTTGATAAATATAAATATGATCGTTTCTTAGTAAAACTCTTCAATTTTAATTTTATGTTAAATGTATATACAATTAATAAATTAAAAATATAATATTGTTACTTATTACATTCTTGAAGACTAATATTTCAACTTTATTTTTATCGTCCACTTCCTTGCGTTCTGTCTAAAAAAATTTGGTCTTTATGTCTCCATAGAACTTTAACGAGGACGAAAATCTTCCACCGCTATTCTGTAGACCACGAAGAAGTCCAAAATTAAATCCAGACTCACGATACGCGTCGCTATTAGATGGATTAGGTGCCGGAAGTCGCAGGCATTCAAGTGTACCGTATCCAATGGCTGATGATTCGTCTTCCCAGTGTGGTGGGTCTAGTCCAGTTCCACGACCATTACATATTCGCAAGCTCGAGAAATCCCCCTTGTCTCTAACTGAAAGCGTTTCGAAGACCACACTGGATAATATTTCAATTCAGGAGGAAAGTGTGCAGAGACATTTCAATATCAAATCGGTCGACGATCTGTTCATAAATGCTGGACCGAAATTTAGAAAAAATGCGCGTGCCTTGTCTACTATCGCATCTTCATCGTCGAGCGACTATCCATCTCAAACTGTCATACGCGAATCTCGTTCGTTGGACCCGATTCCCACTGATATATATAACAAACGTTTCGAATCGCCGAACTTTTGGAAGGAGAACGAATGCACAGAGACCGATTCGAAAGTGGATATTTCGGAGAAACTGCTGAACAATAATTATCCTAATGGTAATGTGATAATGATGCCTCACACCGATAATTCGCCAAATGAAGCAGATCCACTGTTAGACGGTGACGAAGATAGTGAAGGCAAGAGGGAAATACGGGAGAAGCGTTCGCGCTCGCTGGATCAAGTGGTATCTGCATCTAGCATGGACAGTGTACCTGATAAAAAGTCGTCCGCGCGAAAGTTATTAGAAATTCCACCTGTTTCAACCATCATTCAGATATTCAATGGTAATGGATTGCGGAACAGCAACCACTCTTTAAGGAGAGGAATAATGGGGCAAAACGAGCGCGAAAGTGTGGTTTAGTATATATACATTCGACAAATATATATTTTTTTAATTACGACAAACTGGTACGGTAGCAAGGAATAAAATCATGTGTGAAACTTGTGCGCTACCAGATGCATAACTATGTGAAGCATATTACGTTTACGAGTCATAAGCATGATTTATTGTTGCCATCTTTTTTTTTCTTTTTTCTAGCTTAGATATGTGCAATTTATGTATATGAAAGTTACCGACATACGCATTGTATATTTTATTATCTAGGTATTTTATAACTTGTGTACACTAAAACGCGTGCATCGAAGCGATGCAAAAAAAAAAAAACCAACTTTTACATGATTTACAGGATCTCTCGCCTGTTCTTTTTTCTTTATTAAAATTTTTAATTTGAATGTTATGATGGAAACAATAAACTATTTTATAAAAATCATGACCAAAGTACACCACGGACACATTTAGATTGTTTTCGACTATTCATCTCGTTTAATAATATGAAAAGGAATTAGGATGGCATCGTATATAATCGGTCAGAATGGTTTAAAGGCTTTTTGTTTCATAGGTAATTTTATATTTCTATATAGTTTTGTATGAAAAAAAAGATAAGGCAAAAAAATTATTATTAAAATTATATAATAATGTAAATTTGTAAATTGCCTAATAAACGAAAAGTTTCTCAGCCGTTCCAATGTCGACTGTATATACACGCGCGTATAAATATGAAGCATGAATGTGTAAGAGACGTGTGTATATAATACATATAGCTTATATGTATATCTATAGTATCTTTAAGTCTATACTTGTTCATTAAAGGAAGCAAATTGTCCGTATGGCTGTGAGAAGTAAACTAGATTATACCTAAGGTGCTTAGTAATATATCATGTTGTCAAATGTATATAACTAAAAAAATAATATATCAATGTAAAAATAAAATGTAAATTAAAAGAATTATTACCTTCTATAAAAGTCAATTAAAAATTGAACTTCTCAAGTTATTAACAAATTTCCACTAATATACTGTTCATTTTTATTTCACAGATAATTATAACAGAATGTACATCTACCCCAAATCAGAGATGAAATTCTTATATATTTACATATTTTATATATACATAAATTATTACAATTATATATTTCTAGAATGCAATCATTAAGATTACGATTATTAATGGCAGAAATTAATCTTGGCCTCTAAGAAATTTTGACATGAAATCAGTTGGTTTCTTTTCCCATGTTTCCTTCCAATAATACATTACTTGTCCTTTAGGTTTCCAAACATTAGCTACTTCTTGCAATTCCATTTGACCCTATTGAGATAATTTTATATTTAATGTGACAAATAAAAATTTAATCATCAGTACACAGATTGATCATTTTTGTATCGTATATGGTACATCATATCATATTCACTTTTTTAAATATATGATATAAAGTTACAGAAAAGTTTTCAATATAAAATATACATATCAATTATTATATATGAATAATTAATGTAATAAAATTACATATTTAATTTACAGGAAGTAGACTTAAAAATCAAGTGTGGTCAATTCATATAAAATGTCCTGTTAATTAGACAGCAAATATTAAAATCTTTAGACTTTGTTTTTGAAATATAAAATCACTGACATTTATTTGTCAACATTTTCATATTTGATTTATATTCTTACCCTTATAATAAGCCGATCTATGATTCTTAAATCAGTCACGTGAGCATGACGTTTGAACTCTTCACGTATCTTTTGCTTACAGTCTGCTTCATTCTTGGGAATATCATAACTTAGCACTGCAAAAAGCAAAAAGGGGTATAAAAAGGTAAAGTTCTAGAAACAAATATTGATAGAGAAATCTTTACACAAGAAATAAAAATAATTTACAAGAGATGACAAGTTACATCGTAAGACAATGATATAATATAATGCAATTATGCGCATGCATAAAATATTGTAAATGTTATTATTTAGATAAATAAATACAGATATTAAAATAAAATACCTATATAAATATCATATAGGTTAAGTATAAAAAGTAAGAGCCTACAACGTATAATTACATATACAAATTACATACACGACGTTGGCACCTGACGAATCCATGCTTTATACAATGTAAGCACTTTTCGACGTGCATCTTCTCTGTTTATAGATAAAATTGGTCTCACTTGGCGAGCAACAGCTGTAGCTTGATTAGCCATTTTTCTAAATTGATTGACTAACCTGGACCAACTTGAACTATAATCTTTATAATCGATATAGTAGGAATTCCACTAATTTTTGAACCAACACTAGATTAGGTAACATCTCAATCAGCTGTGTTGCTATCAAACTGCTTCGTCTCTGTTGCAACACACTGTATATTATTGCACTTATACTCCGGCCTGTCAGGAAAACCGCTTGAATTTTTGTTGTACATTTGAGAAAGAATTATTCATTTAATTGTAAGTATCAACAATATAATATCAATATTATCAGAATATGTATTATTGTTTTATTCTGTGTATAAAATAATTTATTGTACATAAAGCACATTATTCTTTGCATTTTATACACAGTAAGTTTGAGAATAATTCTTTTTATATAAATATTGATACAACCTTTTTGTTTAATCAATATGTAATAAATTATGCCTTAAACATTTATAACTATATTTTATTTGAATGATATATCTGTGTATATCTTTTTTAAATATGTTGCCATAACTTTGCTTATGTCATCATATATATTATTTATATTTATATAGAATATTTTATTTACAGAAAGATGGTTGTGAGACAATATCAAGAGGAATTGAAATATTTGGAAAAAATAAACGAATGCTGTTGGAGAATTAAAAAAGGCTTTCAACCTAATATGAATGTAATTCTTTTTTTTATTGCATATCATGCAAAACATAATACAAATTATTCTTATATTAATTTTATCTCATACTAGCAAATTATAATTCAAGGTTGAAGGAGTGTTTTATGTGAATAATACATTGGAACGATTAATGTTTGATGAGCTGCGCAATGCCTGTCGACCAGGTGCAGTTGGAGGTTTCCTTCCTGGAATGAAACAGATCGCAAATGTAGCAGCTCTGCCTGGTATTGTATGGAGATCTGTTGGATTACCAGATGTACACTCTGGATATGGCTTTGCTATTGGTAGAGTATTATTTTACATTAAAGAATTTAGAATTTGAAGCAATTTGCAATTAATAATTGTACAATAATGATAATGTTAAATGAATATTATATCAATATTGTTGCATTTAGGTAATATGGCAGCATTTGACCTGGATGATCCAAAATCAATTGTATCTCCTGGTGGTGTTGGCTTTGATATAAACTGTGGTGTTCGTCTACTGCGAACAAATTTATACGAGAGAGATATTCTACCAGTAAAAGTAAATCTGATATTCTTTATTTGTAATTTATTTTAATTTTGTGCATTATAAACTAATAATGTAATATGTATACATACATATATATTTGCATGTATTAATATAAAAATATGGCCTTGTAGGAACAACTTGCGCAAAGCATGTTTGATCACATTCCGGTTGGTGTTGGATCTAAAGGAATTATACCAATGAATGCACGAGATTTAGAAGAGGCGTTAGAAATGGGAATGGATTGGTCTTTGAGGGAAGGTGAGAGAAAAAGTATTATGATGAAATAAAACAATACTAAACGAAATACTAAAAATTATGATATAAAACAATTAGGTTACATTTGGGCTGAAGATAAGGAACATTGCGAAGAATATGGAAGAATGCTGAATGCTGATCCATCAAAAGTATCAATGAGAGCTAAAAAACGTGGACTTCCTCAAGTATTTATTTTTTAATAGATACTTAAAATATTATTTTGTTGTATTGAATATGCATTCATATTTTACAATTACATTTTATGTCAGTTAGGTACATTAGGAGCTGGAAATCACTATGCGGAGATTCAAGTGGTTGATGAAATATACGATAAGTGGGCTGCATGTAAAATGGGTATTGAAGAAAAAGGACAAATTTGTGTTATGATTCACTCAGGAAGTAGAGGATTCGGTCATCAAGTTGCTACAGGTTGTTTTTTTAAATTTCTCTAATATAATTTGTTTCTAATTATATAAACTACACACATTTTTCGTTTTACATACAAATCACATAAAACACTTGACATTTAAAAATTATAGCAAAAATTGATATATTTCATAATAAAATAATTCTAATATTTCAGATGCACTTGTGCAAATGGAAAAAGCTATGAAACGTGATAAGATAGAAACCAATGATAGGCAGCTTGCATGTGCTCATATAAAATCTCAAGAAGGCCAAGATTATTTAAAAGCGATGGCAGCTGCTGCTAATTTTGCATGGGTTAACAGGAGTTCTATGACATTTCTTAGTCGACAGGTATGAAAAAGATATATATGAAAATATTATTTAATAAAGACTCTCGAGATAATATACAATATTTTTTAACAGGCATTTGCAAAACAATTCAATTCATCTCCTGATGATTTAGATATGCATGTTATTTATGACGTTTCTCACAATATCGCCAAAATAGAAGAACACATGGTTGATGGAAAACAGAAGACACTCTTAGTTCATAGAAAGGTATTTATATACAATTAAATAATGACTTAATTTTGATACAGATGCAACAATAATGTGTCATGTTAAAATATAACATGATACTTGTTTGTTACATACTTAATAAAGAAATATTCTGCTTGAAGGGATCAACAAGAGCATTTCCACCGCATCATCCTTTAATTCCTGTGGATTATCAATTGACTGGTCAACCAGTTTTAATTGGTGGTACTATGGGGACCTGTAGTTACGTTTTAACTGGTACAGAACAGGGTATGAAAGAAACATTTGGATCAACTTGTCATGGTGCTGTAAGTATATGATTTTATCAATTTTTTGCGTATTATTTTTATTCATCTAATTTTAAATTTACAAATAATTGCAAAAAAACTGTTCTTATCAAGAAAAAATATATACACAGGGTCGCGCTCTTTCAAGAGCAAAATCACGTAGAAACTTGGATTATAAACAAGTTCTCGAAAAATTGGAAGAATCAGGAATATCAATTCGAGTTGCTTCACCGAAATTAGTTATGGAAGAAGCGCCGGAATCCTACAAAAATGTAACAGACGTTGTTAATACTTGTCACGCAGCTGGAATCTCCAAAAAATGCATTTAAACTCCGTCCGATTGCAGTCATTAAGGGATAATATATTTTGATTGCTCTTTGGTTGATAATGTATTGCTGATATGTTTGCCAAATGATATTTATAAAAGTTACGAGGGAAAATATCAGATAATCAATCTTACATTTGGTTTGTATGAGAATATTTGTATAAATTTTTTATATAAATTTTACAAATAATATTACCATAAGATACACTGCAGTTATGCAAACTTAGCAAAATTAATATCACATTTTTTTTTCTATGTGATGTAAGACTATAATAATACAAGAATAGAATATTATAAAGCTCGCAATATTTGTTTTTCTTTATAATGTCTAAACATGTGTTTGTCAATGTGTAAAAATTACAATTATTATAATATAATAATGTAAAATGTAAAATTTATTGATAAATATGCAAACATTCATGTCATTTTTAATTTAAGATTGTAAGTTTTTTATTTAAAAGTATAATTTAACTTGTAAGAATTATTTAGCATTATTTAATCTAAAATATATTACATTCCTAATTTTTATGGAAAAAAAAATAATAATAATCATATAGAAAATAAAAGAAAAATTATTTAAAATTATGTCGCGACATAATAATAAATTATACATAATAATATAATAAATTAATAAATAAATAATAATAAATTAATAAAATAAAATAATAAATTAAAATTATGTCGCGACATATTTTGTATTATCGAAGGGATAGGGTTATTCTGTTAATATTTTTTATATTTTTAATCAGACTCTTTTATTTTTTGAAGAATTTGGATCGCTAACTGAGATAATTAACTTTGTCATTACTTTAGGATCACAATTTAGATATCTTAACTTAACATTAGGTCATGATATTTTACAATATATGTTTTATTATCGAAGGGAGAGCTATTCCGTTAATATTTTTTTATATTTTTAACCATGCTCTTTCATTTTTAGATAGTTTAAAAAGCTAATTGGGATATTTAATTTTTTATTACTTTATATAGGGTCCCTATTTAGATATCGCAATGTTAGGTCATGTTTTTTCAATATTTTTTATTATTGAGAGGAGGAGTATTTTGTTAATATTTTCGAATATTTTTCTCATCAATCACACAGTCTTTTTCATTATTTAAATAATTCAGATCGCCAATTGCAATAATTAACTTTGTCAATACTTAGTCATCATTTAGATTTCTTATCTTGACGTTGGGTCACGTGTTCTTTAAATATTTTTAATTATTGAAAAAAAGCTATTTTGTTAATACTTTTTCATATTTTTAATTAGGCTTTCCTTTTTTTAAAAAGTTCAAATTGCTAAATGCGATAATTATTTTTTTTGTTATTTTAGAGGTTATATGTAGATATCGTAACTATAAGTCACGTCTTTTTTTAATATTTTTTATTATTGAAGGGAGGGCTATTTTGTTAATATATTTTTATGCAAAGTATTTTATTTTTTTAAGAAGTTTAAATTGCTAATTGTGATAATGAATTATGTCCTTACTGTAGGGTTTACATTTAGATATTGTAAGGAATATACCCGGATCCGGCGGATATCGTCGAATTACGTCGTCGTCGTTGTCCACAGCTGATCATTGCGTGCGCACTCGAACAGGCGCAAGACAGGAGAGAAACAGGAGTGGGGCACCGATCGTCGACTGTGCTCCAAAAAGACCGGCGAAAAGGTGGGCACTCTCTGTCGAAAAGCGCGATATAACAGTTTTGTAAAATATACGTGCGGGAGTCTTTAGCAAATTGTTATACTTTAGAGAATCTTTCGCAATAAAGTGACCTTGCATCTATTCTTTAATTTTAATTGAGTCGAGCCGAGTTACTTTATTTATTCGTACCATCCTTACATCTCGAAATACAAGTACCTATCCGAAGTAATATAAATATATTTACTTCTTTTACAGTATACTAACTTGACGTATGGTTACGTGTTTTCTACTATTTTTTATTATTGAAGGAAAAGCTATCCTAAATTTTTTTTTTTTTTTTACGCTTTTTTTATTTATTAAAAAGTTTAAATTGCTAAATGCAATAATTAATTATTACGTTATTTTAGAGTTTCTATTTAGATTTCGTAAAGTTAAATTGTTTTTCTTCAATAAATTTATTATTGAGAAAAAAGCTAGTCTATTAATATTTTTTTTTTTTATATATTTTTAACGTCCTATTAACTTTTTAAGAACTTGGATCGCTAATTGCGATAATTAATTCTGTCATTACTTTAAAGTTAGCATGTAGATACTTTAAATGAACATAAGATCATGATTTTTATTTCAGTATATATTTAAGTATCAAAAAGAGGGCTATTCTGCTAATATCTTTTATATTTTTTACCAGGCTCTTTTACTTTTTGAAGAGTTTATATTGTTAAATGTGATAATTAATTTTGTAATTACTTTAGGGTCATTATTTATATATTGTAAATCGTGTACATTCGAGTCGTTTTTTCTAATATTTTTTATAAAAAGGATGAATATTCTGTAAATTTTTTTTTAAATTTTGAACCAAGCTCTTAATTTTTTAATAATATAAATTGCAATTGCGATAACTAATTTTTTAATTATTGTAATGTTTAAATTAAGATATTGTAATGTTAAGTCAGTGTGTTTTTTAAAATATTTTTTATTATCGAAAAGAAGGCTACTTTGTTAATTTTTTAGATATTCTTAACTCGGGTCTTTTTTTATAGATTTTAAATAGCTAATTTTACGTTCATTAATAAGATATTGTAATTTGAGATTAGATAATGATTCTTTAATGTTTTCTTATCAAAAAAAATTTATTCTGTTAATACTTTTTATTTTTGAATAAGCTTTTTTTTTCTTTTTTTTTAATTTAAAACGTTAAATGTGATTATTAATTTATTTTCTTTAAGGTCTCTATTTAGTTTTTTTTTTTTTTTTTTTAAGTCAGGAAATTTGCCTAAACCAAACTTCGCCGTCCTGACCCCTGAGGGAGGGTCAGGAGGCTTTGTGGTGGATTCCCGCCCGTAGTATCCCGAGGGACTATCGAGCGGGGGACCGACCTAAAACCTGACTGAAGCCCCTGGTCATATAGGTTATGTCCACCGCGGAACCGCGTGAGCATTACTTCACGGTGGACACCCGACCGGCGTCCTGAAGGTAGGACACATCCCCCGGAAGGATACTACAGGTATCCCCCCGGAGAGGACATCCCTTGCCCCGAAAGGGCATCGAGGGGAGCCGGGCTACTAGCTCCCCCCGGACTTCCCTGGGTCGACGTGCAATGAGAGCGGGGCCCCCACCCCTCTCTCTGCTAACCCGGTAAGTGAGGTGACCGCAGTCACCCACCCACACACACAAAAACGTCACAGGACGTTACAAAAAGACCAACAGTGCACTACACATGTACACAATGAGACGTAATAAGGGCCACAGGCCCAGCCCTCTAGGGGCCCACAATTAAGGCACATGGCCATCCACAATAAAGGTGGGAGAAGATGTAATTTCCACCTGCAACAAAAGACAACAAGAAACTAAGACAAACATAAACTTGGCGCGAGTGAAGAGGCCGCGGAGTCACCTCTCGGTAGCCTCCCCGGCACTCATTCACCCTCACCGCTACCTACTACATGGACCTGGCGGGGCAGGGAGACCACGGAGTCACCTTTCGGCATCCTCCCCGGAACCCCCCGCACCCACCGCTACAAACTACGACAAATTGACAGAAACAACATCAGACATTGTGAGCGGAGCTGCAGTCCGGCACAGGGGAGTCACCTCTCCGCGACCTCCCCCGCCCCCGACTGCAGCTCACCTGCACCCACTCGGGACTATCGGGAGTTTCCCCAACAGGGGACCCCGGAGCCCGCGCACACACCGAGGCAGCCTCGGTCTCCATAGGCCGTCCCCCAACGGGACGGCCTGGAGCCTGGCGCCTGTCCTTCGTCCCGGTAATTCGTTGCCCGGGTGGAGGGGAGAGCGAACCGCACCCCCGCCCACCCAGGACATGGTCAGCCGACCCCCCGCCGTCCGCACAAGTCGGACAGTGAGGGGTGGCGACACACCCCGCCGCCTGGTGTCCTTCGACACCACAGCGGTAGCAACGCCGCGAGCGATCCACCCTAGACGAGCAGCTCACTCGCGCGTGCCCCAACTCAAGGCACCTGAAACACCTCAAGGGGCGGGCGCGAAGCAGCTCCACCCCAAGGGTGTTCCATCCAACCTTTAAGCTACCCGCCAGCAAGGCCTTACGGCCAATTGCCACCGGGCAGCGCACTCATAAGGTGCTCCAAGGGGACCGCGGCAGGGGCCGGACTAACCTGATCCGAAAATCCCCCGCATCGCATCCCTCCAGAGACACCAACGCCTCCAATACTTCCTCACGCGTGGTGATCCCCTCCCCCATAGTCCCACGGAGCCTAAGCTCCATGGTTTTCTGGGGGCGGGAGACCACCACGCCCTTCTCCAGGAAGACCTCTCGCAACTTGTCTGCAAGTAAGTCAGCCTTTTCCACCGTGCCTTTTCCAGGGACCTGCAGAAGCAGACCCCCAGTCACACCAAAGCGCATTGACATCGGGCCAATGCCTAACTCTGTAGGGTCGACGCGCGACTTTGCCTCCCTCAAAATATCCGAGTAGGACTTGCCCCCCGTCGAAACGAGCTGCACCGCCGACGTACTCGGAACGCGTGCAGCCCGCACTAAACGGCCCCGCCGAACACCCAGTCCGGAACCAGAAGGGCCGGACACACGAACCCTCCCAGGGCCCGGGCCCCGCACCCCCCGGCAGCCGAATCAGCCACCGACGGGGACGAAGACCCGAGCCCCGGGAAGGAAACCTTCCTTCTCGTACCACGACCCCGCCTCCCACGCATAGGCGTCGAGAGGACGGGGGAAACCTCCTTGACCGGGGGGGCAGAGACAGGCGACCCCGTCCCTCTCCCCCGGGAATCCAAAGAGGACCTGAGAGACTCTACAGTCCTCCTCAGGTCCTCGAGCGCCCCACTTACGCGTTTCTTAATGAGGAGATCCACCCGCGCTAAAAGCTGCTGGTGTGGATCCCCCCCCGAAGCCGCCTCAGAGGAGGACTCAAAAAGAGTCCTCCGCACCTCAGAGGCGGTCTCCTTACCAGAAAATTCCGGCTCAGAGACCACCTCTCTATCCCGCCACCGCCGTGACCTCTTCTTCACAGGAGGCGCCTCCTTCTCCCCAGAAGAAGGAGGCAGAGGAGCCATCGCACCGCGAACAACCTCCAACTCCTCACGGAGTTTTCGGTTGCCCGCCTCCAACTCGCTGATGCGCCCCTCAAGCCTCCTGATCTTCTCGGCGTAAGCCCGGCAGTTATTCGACAGGACCTGCTCCCTGTCAAAAATCTCCACCGGGCTATGGAAGATGCCGGGCTCCGACACGTCAAGCGCGCCATCGGACCTCCCAGGGAAGGCAGAGGCAGCGCCCAACGCACCGTCACCCAGCAAACTCACCTCGTGAGTCGCATCCCGCGGCGAATCCCCACTAGTCTTTTCCACCTCGTTGTTACGGAGGTCAGATTCCTCCTGCACCGTCTCCAGGGCGCACCTGTCCTCTGAGGCACACTTCTTCTTCGAATAACTTTGAAGGTGTAATCTCAGGCGCCTGTAAATTCCGAGCCATCGGAAGGCCCGAACATTCTCGTCCCGAAGGACGTGCCTGATCTCGATCGCAAGATCACTTGGATCGTCGTCCCTCACTTAGCTCCTCCCAGGCAATAGCCAGTTGGATGAGCTGGTCCTCCACCTCGTCCTCCGTCCTGCACCTCGGCGCTGTCGCTTCCCCATCCGCGGACCCAGCCGGCAAATCCGCGGACGACCTGTCGCTCGATGACGACGAGGGGGGAGCGAGGCCTACACCCTCCCCACGCCGGTTCCCGGTACCCGAACCCGGGACGTTCTCTTTCTTTCCAGAACTACTCATGATGCTAGAAGAGAAAATTGGCTTCGGTGTTTTCCTTCACCTAGTGCAGTGGACAAGTCCTTTTTAGGGCTTGCACCTCCATCGCACCTCGTTCATCCATCACCCACACACTCCAGCTCCTTTTTAGGGCCTGCACGTCCATCGCACCTCGTTCATCCATCACCACACACTCCAACTCGGGTACCTCGGGATTGCGACACCCGTACACTACAGGGATGAGTCTTTTTTTTTTTTTTTTTTTTTTTTTAAGTCAGGAAAATTTGCCTAAACCAAACTTCGCGTCCTGACCCTTGAGGGAGGGCCAGGAGGCTTCGTGGCGGATTCCCGCCCGTAGTATCCCGAAGGACTATCGGACGGGGTACCAGCCTAAAACCTGACTATAGCCCCTGGTCGTTAACGGGTATTGTCCACCGCGGAACCGCAAACGCATTACTTCACGGTGGACACCCATGACCGGATCCTGTTAAGGATGCATCCCCGGGCAACTAAGTTGCCGTCCAATGCCCTCACCCCGAGAGGGTAAATAAGGGGAGCGGGCTATCAGCTCACCCCCGACCATCCCAAGGCCGACGTGCAATGGGATTGGAGCCCCCACTCCTTTCCCTGCCAGCCTGGTTGGCGAGATGACCGCAGTCATCAGCCCACATGAAATGACGTCACAGGACATCACGAACTCAACGTGTACACTACATGTATACACAACCACAGTAATAAATAGAGACCAAGTAAGGGCCACAGGCCCGACTCTAGAGAGAGCCTACATTAAAAGGCCGACAAAACAAATAAAGGTGGGGAGAGATGTACACCCCACCTATTGACGAAAGACAAAGGACCAGAACAAACATGAACTTGGCGTAGGTGAAGGGGCCGCAGAGTTACCTCTCGGCAACCTCC